GTCCTGCATAGGTGCTAGATACAATCATCACACTGGGATGTGAGTTGCTTCAGTGGAACGTGTAAGTTAAACGTTGAAAACTTCACTATGTATGTGATAGCGAACCGTGGTGATGTCAATGGAAATTTACTTTGCAGAATCCTAAATGGTATGGATTGAATTGGGTCCCCCCAAGATATGTGTCAACTTGGCCTGGTCATGATCCTCACTATTATGTAATTATCCTCCATTTGGGGTCTGATATAATTATCCTGTGTCTTCTAAACCATGACTCTTATGATGTTAATGAGGCAGGTTGCCATCTATAGGGTTAGGTTGTATCTTGAGTCAATGTCTTTTGAGATACAAAAGAGCTTGAATAAGTGAGCAGAGATCAGAGGGATCTGAATATCATGAAGAAACAAGAGCCAGGAGTCGAGTGCATCCTTGGGAACCCAGGTCCTATTTCTGAGAACCTGCTAGAACCAGGGGAAGATGGATACCAAGGAACACAGAACAGATGCCATGCTTGTCACCCTCAGTGATATTGCAGAGTTGAAATCAAGAGATCCCTGCCACAATCTTTATGTTCTACTATTGGAGGAACTTTGGGCAAAAGTAGTGTTTTGCTGTTTTGCTTCAACTTTCCATCTACAACATGGAAATCAAATTCTCCTTCCACTAGTTTATTGGGGAGTGTAGTGAGAGAAAAATGGACTATTTTTGCTATCTAAGAGATGCTGAAACTCTAGAAAAAGGCCCACTGTATGTGTAAGAAGCTGTTTCAATGACAGATGCACTCGGTCAGTTCCAGAGCCAGACTGAGATGGCCTTGTTCCAGAGGTGCCAGACAGTCTTCGGAAAAACAGGACTGTTTGAAGTGGGTCACTATAAGACATAGTACTTTTACTGTATAGGAAACTAGTTTCCATGTAGTAAATTCCCAACTAAAGAAACCCAGCCTTTAATAGAATAGATTGTTGGTCCCTATTGACTTTCTTCACCACACTCAATTATTTGTTGGGTTTAATTAAGGAGTTCTGATGGCTCAACAGTAGTGTTGGACTGCTAACTGAATGGTCAGTGGTTCTCTGTGGGAGAAAGATATATTGTCTGCTTCTGTAAAGATTCCGCCCTGAGAAAACCCAATGGGGAGTTCTGCTCTACCCTATAGGGTTTCTGTGCTAGTGGTGGTTGTGTGCCACCAAGTCAGTTCCGACTCTCATAGCAGTGCTGTATCGGGTTTCCGAGGTTGTAAATCTTTATGGGAGAAGAAAACCTCATCTTTCTGCCATGGATCGGCTGGTAGATTCGAACTGCCAACCTTGCGATTAGCAGCCCAGCTCGTAATCCACTACGCTACCAGGGCTCCTTGTAAGGTTTCTGTAGGGTTATTATGAAGTCCATGGACTCAATTTGAAGTTAATCTTGAGGACATTGATGGCTCTGATGGTTTACCTTCTATTTGGAAACCCTGAGTTCAACACCTGCCCAGTGCCCCTCAAGCATAGCTACCACTTGTCTTTCTGTGGGGCTTACAAGTTGCTGTGACACTGAACAGGTTTCAGTGTAGCTTCCAGACTAAGTCAGACTAGGAAGAGCCGACAAGCTTGAAAAGCAGCCAATAAAAACCATTGTGTATCAAAATAGTCCATCCAGTTGTGCATGGTGCCATCATGCAGAGAACAACAGCAAGTGAACCTGTGCTGTGGGTTTTCTCCATCCCAGGTTTGGCTCATCATCTCTTTGACTAAGCTGATTTCGTGAAAACATACTGCCTTTCTGAATTTTGTGATTTCCTTGACAAAAATAATTTACTGCTTTTTAAAATGATTTTTTATCAAAGTAGCATATGTCCATTATTGTTGTTGTTGTTAAGTGCCG